TTCCACAAGGAACTATAGCACTGTAGGCCTGGAGGTGGGGAGTGCAGAGGGCTTGAGCCACTCTCTCTGCATGAACCGTTTAAACCTTCACTCAAACTGTATTTCAATTAATCTCAAGACCACTATCCATGTGGAAGGTATGGCTAATTCTGCTTTTCCCCAGGGAAGTAAAGCACACAATTAACTTTTCAGTAAAATAAACTCCAGCCCCAGAAGCCCACACTTCCTATTACCAACTAGGGCCAGGCTCTTATTTGTATTCCTATCACAAGAAACTTTCCTCACGGGATAATCCTCAGAAGAGGTGATACATAAAAACTGAGTATCACTACGCCTCCTAAATCAGGCTGCAAAACATTGACTCTTCAATGGAAAGAGATTACTTACACTCCCAAATGAACTAATTACCAGTCTGGAAAGGCTTCCAGCTCAAAGCTTTCTGACTTCATTCATCAAGGTTTCTGGGACAACTAGAGAAAAATACCTAACCAAGTAGATGAGTGATTATATTCTCAGGAAATAACTGCTATTATTACCTTATTATAATATGTAGAAGAGCTGCCAACCTAATTATCATATATCCTACATTTGTCTATGCAAATATCTTTGAAGAAAAAAATTTAAAGTATTCAGGCTAACTTGGAATTTTAAAGAAACTTCCAAATAGAATCCCCAAAAGAAGTCCAGGTAAATTCTGAAATTAAGTACTGGATTACCCTACAATTTCAGGCTCTGAACAGTATCATGTGTTCTTTTTTGGTATCCCATTTGAATAGATATTTGGATGATATAGGAATAGAGTTTAAAGGACTAAAGAAGCTGAAACTAAACTAAACTACAGAAGGAACTGGTATAAAAAATAAATATCCTGGTTGACTTGTTTATATACCTTAGAAAACCAAAGACTTCAAAATCTAGTAGAACAAGGTCCAGGAAAGTAGGTACTTTCTGATCCAACACCCTATCATTTTTGTTCAGTGAGTGTTGTTGAATAAACAAACGTGTAGAAATGTGGTTTCCAAATTCAAAACATCAAGGAGAGATTCACTTTCAGTAAAATTTTTTTTTCTTTTTCTTTTTGAGATAGGGTCTCTCTCTGTAGTTCAGGCTGGCCTTGAGCTCACTTTGTAGCCCAGACTGGTCTGGAACTCGTAACAACTCTTCTGCTTCTGCCTCCGGGTGCTGGGATTATAGGTGTGTGTCACCATGCCCGGCTTTTCAGTAAAGATTTTAATATGTAACATTATCTTCTCCATAGATTTATAAAAATTGTTATGCTGCAAATTTCATTAATTATCTTTAGTTTTTCAACAACAAAATACACCTAATGCAGAGGAAGTGGGTCGCAATCCAAATGAACTTCACGAAGATTATTAAGTAGAAGGAAAGTGAGGTGAAAAGCTATCCATATTACTTGGACAAACCGGGAAAGGAGCAGATGAGCATGTTTTCTAATAGCCTTCTCCAGAACTGTCTGACTCCTCCGGCTTCTTTTTCAGTGGGGTTAGCATTTTTCTCTTGATTTTAAATTTTTCCTTGCATGTAGCCAAGAACTTATATTTTCCTTGTCTTTTCTTATTTCTCCCAAGCTGTCTCACCAATCACCTCTGTGACAAACCTTCTCCCTTCTATGGAGTTTAGACTGAAAGTATTCTGTCCCTAAATACTGGCCTTTTTATGGAAGTTTCATTTCCTTGAGGATAGGTCTGGTCTATCTCTTGAAGCTAAATTCATTGTGCTTCATAAAAAAAGAAAATAAAAATCACAGGCAGCACTGAATCACCTACCACTAGTACCCCTCTAGTGGCTCATACAAATACATCTTTTCCTGTTTTTGTGGTGGTTTTTTTTTTTTTTTTTTTTTTTTTTTTTTTTTGAGACACAGCCTCACTATGTATGCAGTTCAGGCTGGTCGTGGGCTCACTTTGTAGCCCAGGCTAGTCTCAAACTTGCAAGAATCCTCCTGCCTCAGCCTCCTGAGTGCTGGGATTACACCATGCCCAGCTGGTCCTTTTCTTGTTCTAACATTGTGTTCTTTGCATCCTTCTAGTGTCTATATTTTCTCTGTTGAATTTCTCCCTTCCAAGTTCATATATCCTAAAACAGATACAAAATTTTCAGCTATGAACTGTTTCCCAAGGTGAAACAAACCTGGGGCTGGGGATTTAGCTCAGTGGCATAAGCACCTGCCTTGCAAGCAGGCGGTCATGAGTTCGATCCCCGGTACCAATAAAAATGAAAAAGACAAAAAAAAAAAAAAAAAAAAAAAAAAAGAAACTGAGAAATTAGCTCACCTGCAGTAGTATATCTTAATATGTTTAACTCTGCACATACATTGTCAGGGAATGAAGAGATGGAAAAAGGAAGGAATGGACTTACACTGCAAAAGAGTATTTTATTAAACCTCATAACGATCCAGATATGACTGGAAGGGTATATCCTTGGCCCCAGCTCCATAGCTGCCATGGGTCGAGAAACTTCCATGTCTCTCTGTCATCCTGTTTCCACCTTGGAGTCAGCTGACCATGGATTGACACCATGAGCCAAAATAAATCTATCTTCCTTTAAATTGAGGTTGCCAGGTATTTTGCCTGGGCAACAAGAAAGTGACTTAAGACAGCCTGCTTTTATTACCTCCATTTACACATGGCAAAATCAAAATTGAAAAGGTTTCAGACTTGCCCAACCAATGTCACTTGACTACTGTCGTCACAGGCCTATACTAAGGTAATCCCACTTCTAATACAGTAGATGTCCACTACTCTCTCCCATAAGTTTCTGTCTATCACCGGGGGACTAACTTCCTGAACAGTCAGTATTTCCAAGCAAACTGGGTGTGGTGGCACACAGCTATAATCCCAGCACTCAGGAAGCTGAGGCAGGAGGATCACCATAAATTCAAGGTCAGCATGGGCTACTTAGTAAGACTGGCTTTAAAAAAAAAAGTATATATATATATATATATATACACAAGTATATACATATATATATACAAGTATATACATATACACACACATATATATATATAAAAGCAAGGGTAGATCTTTAACCTTTGAGATACCATCTCCATTTAGCTAACAAGGTGCAAAGCCATTTTCAATCTTCCCACTAGAAAGCTAGGCCTTTCTCTTCTCATCTACATACCACTTGTAACAACTACTTTGTTCCACAATAATTTCCAACAGTTCATGTTTTAAAAGGACTTAGTCATAAAGACACTCATAGTCTAAAACATTTGCATCAGCATATAATTTTCTCAATAAAGTTTTGGGCTGATGCAGTATTTCTAGTTCTCAAACTTTACAACTAATGACAAGAATATAGAACAGTCAAAAATTATACAGGACAGAGCTATATATTTTTTTTTATTTCATCACGTCTGTCTCTTACGAGTTTCCTATGAGTCATTGTCTTTTGTGTTCAGTCATCATTATAAGAACTATCATATTTCTAGCCTAAAATTATTGTTTTTTAAAGAAAAACTCTCCAATAAAAATGGAATGCCATTGCACCTCTTACCATCTTGCTAAAATGTTGACCTCTTTGCTCGTACCTAAGATACTTTGTTGTTCTGATTTTCACAATTACCATTTTAAAAAAGAGCAAGTATCACACTAAGGCTACAATTCACTTATTTATTTGCCAAAAGAACACGTGAAATCCTATCACCTACCAAGACCTGGGACCCAAAAGTGAACAAGAATTGTCTCTTCTCTCATAAGCTGATGGAGAAGAAAAAGTAAAGAATTACACAATTAATTTATCAAGCAAGGCTAAGGCAAAGATGAGCACATGGCTTTGGGCAGGGACCACCAGGGAATGCTCCCTGGAGGAAGTGACCTCGAGGACATTTAAACATCTCTCTCCCCACTTTCAGTACAAAATTGACCTAAAAGACAGAACGTTATTCCTTGAGAGGTTGTAAGATTTATTTGCCAGCGTTCAAGTCACAATCATTTTTGACTACCTGTGCTATTTCAATCCTTAATATTCCCTCGGAACAAATTACAAGTGTAACAAGGTTAGCATTCTCATGGTGGCTTTTCACATGTCTACAAAATAGGATTAAAGATACTCAAAATGAAATGAAATGCACTGTTTAAAGAAATAATTTTCCTAACTGAAAATGAACATTTTCAACAATTCAAGACCTACAAAGCCTGGTCGCCGGAAGAGGAAACTGAGGTTCAAAAAGTCCTATTTTAATACAACAGAATCAAAGGTCTCTTTGAACACCAGAAGAGCTTGAACAAAAAGAGAAACAGAAGGCTATTGTGGGGCTTTGGCCTCCAGATGATGAACCCCCAAACACACTGCAATGGTAAACAAACAAGCCTCTGAGCTGCAATCTGATTTGGTGGTCTGACAGAACATTACAATTGAAGAAATCGCTTCCCATTCATTATTTCCCAAAGTCCCTCTGGCCAGCTCCACGGGTTTTGCTGGTTTCTGGGTTTACTGCTTGTAAATTATAATGCACAGTATGCCTTTGGGGAGGGGGGTGCAGGCAAATGAAAACAACCGCGGCTTTAAAGCTCCATTAAAGACGGTATATGTGACAGCAATGAACTCCGCCTGCGTGTACTACGAGGACCTATTATTACTCCTTTATGCTACTCCAGTGGGTCTTAAATTCAAATGCACGCCACCACTGCCCACTACAGAGCAGGCAGCGGGAGGGCAGGGGCGCACTCCTACACCTGCCCAGCAGGACCCGGTCAGTCCGCGCTCCCGGTCACGGCCCAGGGCCACGCAGCAGACCTGGGAGCGGGGCTGCTGACCCCGGCCACGCTAGCTGTGCCGTCCCGCAGTGGGCTGTGGAGTCCGCCGCGCCTCTGGCCCAGCACAGCGCCTCCTGCCCTCGGCTCCAGGCGACCCCGGTGGCGGGCCGGGGACCCGGCTAGGGCTCGCCAGCCCCCGGCGCGGCGGGGCGCCCGGCCCCCCACCCCGGCCCCGCACCCCGGCCGGCCTGACCCCCGCCCGCGCCCGCGCCCCCGCACCGTGTGCGACTGCAGGCTCTGGCTCGCCTCGATGGCCGCCGTCAGCGGCACCGTGTCATCCAGCAGCACCTTGCCGGCCGGCGGCTTCTCCATGAAGGCCATGCCGCCGCCGCCCGGGACGCGGGTCAGGACCCAGGGCGCAGACTCCCGCCGCCCGCCGCCCGCCGCCCGCCGTCCGCCGCCGCCTCGGCCCGGCCCGCTCCGCCCCGCTCCGCCGCTGTCAACACGCGCCGCCCCACGCGCCGCCACCGCGCCCAGCCCGCCGGGTCCTAGCGCCGCCCGACCACGCCTCCGACGCTGTCAACAGAGGCCCGCCGCGCAGCCGCCTCCCGCCGGGTCCTAGCGCCGAAACCCCGGGGAGCTGGCGCCGTCAGGGTCAGCGTCGACTGCGCGTTAACTTTGCACTTTTGTAGCGTTCTTGTACATCGGACGGCGGAGGTGTGCTATCCCATGTGGTTGCTCTGGACTTGAACGTTTCAGCTCTTCGCAGCTTTACCAGGACCTTAGCACCCTGCAAACCCTAAACTGTCATCACCAGAAATTCTTAGATCCTAAGCTACTGCATGCTGAGTCCTGGAATCAGGAAGTCCCAGGCTTCCAGACCAGGCCTTGCAGAATTGGGCTTTTCCGATGAAACATCAGAAACTGGGGCTGAAGGGGCTGGGGATTTAGCTCAACGGCATAAGTACCTGCCTTGCAAAGCAGGCGGTCCTGAGTTCAATCCCTGGTACCGATAAAAAGTTAAAGGAAAAAAAAAGAAAGAAACTGGGGCTGTTAGACTAGAGACTCTTAGAACTGGATCTCTCCTGCTCATGCCTTCCACACCAAGCACGCTAAGCCTCGGAAGAGCCTTCCAGGATGAACCCTCGGTCCAGGCCCTGCAGACCCGCGGGCTTTCTAAAAAGGCCTCTCTGATTCAGGTTTTACAGGAAGCCCTGAAACCGAATCTTCTGACAAGGGAACTTAACAGTGTTACCCTCAAAAGAGGACCCCACGCTTGGAAGCTTTGGACCCCAGAACCCTAAGGCATGAGCTCTAATAAATGGGAAGAAAGCAGCTGGTCCAGAGACTTCAGGCCGGTCTTTCTGGCCCAAGCTCCCAGCTCAGCCCAGACCTTCACACCCCAGAACCTCAGTCAAATCCCTCAGACCAGGAGTTTGGTTTTTTTTGTTTTTTTGTTTTTGTTTTTTTTGTATTTTTACCGGTACCAGGGATCAAACTCATGACCAGAGGCTTGTAAGGCAGGTGTTTATGCCGCTGAGCTAAATCCCCAGCCCCAGACCAGGAGTCTGTGATCCCACCATATTAGCACCAAGAACACCAAATCAAGAGCCAGAGAAACAGGATCAACTTTTCAGCCCCAAATCTGCTCCACAGTTAAAACCACAATTCATATACCTTTGCCCCCAGGCAACTTTCCAAGATAGCGAGGTTAAAGTTTGGAATCAGATGACCAGGATCTTCAGGGCTATACCATTTGTTAATTTGAATAAAACTAGATGGGCACAGCAGTATACGCCTATAATCCCAGCATTTGGAAGGCTGAGGCAGGAGGATTGCTGCAAATTCAAGGCCAGCCTGGGCTACAGAGAGAGACCTTGTCTCAAACAATCAATCAATCAATCAATCAATCCCTTGAGTGAATTACCCAACTTCTCTGAGTGCCAGCTTCAGCTTCCCAACTGCAAAGTAGAGTAGGACCTGTATGAAAAGTTAAATAGGAAGAATGCAATAGAACAGGAAGACTGGGCATATAATAAAGCCCAAGGAGTATTACTTCTTATAATTCACAGAACTAAGGATTTCTAATTCTTCAAATGTCTCCACTCAGCACCTACCTTTCAAACAGGTAACAATATTTATTGGTAGTTCCACCTCCACCCTTTGACATCATAGCAAAGGCCCAGATTGTCTTAAAGGGTATGCCTGCTAGATCTCTGACTTAAAGACTGTTGGGCAACCCTAAGAAGTGCCTGTGACAGATCTGTGTCAGGGCCAAGACCCAAAAGAGGGAGCTGTGAAGAAAGAATCATCAGGGGCTGGGGATTTAGCTCAGCAGCATAAGTGTCTGCCTTGCAAGCAGGCAGTTGTGAGTTCGATCCCCAGTACCGATAAAAAGGCAAAAGACAAAAAAAAAAAAATCATCAAATTTAGAAATCTATCCCTAAAATAATAAGCACTCTTCTTATAGTCCATTTTTTAAAATTTTATTTAAGGAGAAAAAGAAAAAAAAAGCAGAAAAACGGTACAAGTTATACAGATTTACAGAAAAAAAATAAACAGTAGGAAATCACTAGTTAATGGATTACATATTGTCATCTTAGAAATAGTTGTTCAAATTACAAAATTAAAGCTTATAAAGTGGACATTCCCACAGTGAGACTGCAAACAGTTCTGTTCAATGATCCAACAAAACTCAGTAATATCCTTATCTATCTTATACACTTAAATATACATGCAGTTATATCGTTTAGAGCAACTTTCTTTTCCTCTCTTTTGTACAATGACAATTACACATTTTGGGTTTTGTTGCTCCCACAGTTCTTATTACTTTTTTTGGAAGAGAGGACAACCAAATGTGACATAACAGAACAGAGTCAGTCAAATCAAAAGGGTGGACATAATAGATAATGTAAAAGCATAATACAAGGTGATCAACAATGGTTACCATAATGCCTCCTGCTATCTCTAATAGAATTGCCTATATCATCAGTTATAATAAAATTGAACAAGACAGTAAAGAACGAAACCAACAAAACCAAAACATTGGAGACATTACAGGTCTTCAAAAGTAGATAATAGTCAACCAGAGTGGGCGTCATAATGAATCCCACTATCTTCACACATGTTGCCTAAACTTTCGAACCTGGTACTATCAAGCAAAACAGAATAGAGGAACATCAGTCAAAACAAGATGGTGAAAGCAATACAGGGCTTCAAATCAAGATAATGGAAAGTCAAAGTGGGTTACTATAATATATCCTGCTATTTTTTATTTATTTTTCCCTTAATTAAAAGGATAAAAATAAAAAATAATAAAATGGAGATTGAGATAAAAGAGGGCATACCAGCAAAGCAGCGCAGATCAAAACATAACCATTTAAGCAAAATAGTGTTTCACCACAAGATAATCCTGACATAAAAGTAGTTACCATATTGTCTCTTTCCTTGAAATCTTTGAGTATAACTTCATATACTGTAGCATCACATATATCAAAACAATGTAAAACCATTTAAGAGAATGACAATATTACAGGGTATTTAGAATCAACTAACAGAAAATGAACAATGGTTTCTGTATAATCTCCTTGTCTATAAAAGTTTTTGTTTATACTATCACATATAATAAAATCCAATATGATACAACCTGTTTAGACCAATTGAGACAGAAGAACAAAAGCTTGATGAGACTTCAAAACAAGATGATACTAAATCAGTATTACCTATTATGATGTCATTTTCTCCAAAATAGCTGTTCCTATCATCCAATCTTCTCTGCCTCATTTCTGTTGAGCTCTTTTTCTGTCATTAGTTGTCAGTTTGTCTTCTTCATTTTGTTTTCTGCTCCATTCATTGTGGCCTCTCTGCCACTATTTCTGGATTCTTCGTATTTTTCTTTTTTAGAATATCCTGCAGTATTCTCTGTAGAGTTGACTTGGTGGTTGCATATTCCCCTAGTTCTTCTTTATCCTGGAAGCACTTTGTTTTTCCATCAATTTCCAGGGATAGTTGTGCAGGATATATCAATCTTGGCTGGAGGTTATTATCTTTCAAAGCTTGAATTATTTCCCCCCACGCTCTTTGTGATTTGATGGTTTGTGCCGAGAAGTCTGCTGTAATTCTGATGGGTGTTCCCTTGTAAATGATCTGTTTCTTGTCTCTGATGGCTTTTAATATTCTGTTCTTGTATTGGATTTCTGGAATTTTGATTATTATATGCCTGAGTGTAGCTCTGTTTGGGTTGTAGGTGGCTGGGGTCCTGTATGTTTCATACAACTGAGTATCTTTGCCTTTTGCTAAATTAGGAAAATTCTCCTGGATTATTTCTGTGAGTAGCTTTTGTAGTTCATTTGTTTGTGTCCCTACTTCTTCTATGTTCTTAATTCTTAAGTTATAGATCCTCTTATCATCTTCTAGTCTTTGTATTATTGCTGTTTGTTTGTTATTTTTAAGAAGTTTTTCATTTCATGCTCCCATATTACAAATCTACCCTCCAGTTCAGATAATCTGTCTTTAGTTTCTTTCAAGCTGTTATGCCAGTTTTCGATAGAGTTTTTAGTTTCCTGGTAATCTCTTTGAACCTGCTTCACATATTCTATGCTTTCTCTATTTTCTCCATCAAAAAATTCTCCCCTCTTTTTCTGTTCTTCCATTCCACCATCTGTTTTTTCTTGGGTGGTGCTTAGCATTTCTCTAACTATTCTGCTTATGTCTAGCTTCATGTCATTAATAAATTCATTCCTGAACTCGTCTATGAGGCTCTGGAGATAGTGCTTTATATCTATTGGTGCTGTGTCTGCTATTGCCTCTTTCTCAGGATTGGGGGCTGAGGAGCCTTTCTTGTTGCTCCCTCTTCCCATATTCTTTGTTCCTTATATATATGCAAGCATATATAGGAAGCCCAGCTTCCTTCCCTGTTGGCCACAGTCTGATTGAATTGCACAGGCTAGGTGTTCCTGCCCACTGCAGCACACCAGGAAGTTGCAGACCGGCAGCCTATGTGGGGCCCGCCCCTCCAAGTCAACCTACCTTCAGGCACTGGGACCTGGGTTGTGCTAGCCTACTGGGTCTCAGCCAGCAGCGTCATATAGGCTAGGCACTGCTCACCAATCCCGCTTGAGAGGGGGATACGTGACTGAAGTCACTGCAGCGCCCTGTTCCCGCAAGTCTGCCCGGTCCCAGAATGTCCTCTGTTAGAGTCTCCTAGACCGTGGAAGAGTCCCAGTTTCTCTCACTCACCGCAGGTCGATGCACAGCTCCCTGCCCATCCTGCTTCCAACTCCGTTCACCAATTCCCGTTCTCAGAGCTTTTGCGCGTACCTCTCCCTGCCGAGCCGATGTAGACACAGCAGCAGCAGCAGCGGCAGGAAACCCAAATCACGGCTTAATGGCGTGGGCTCCAGCTTCCACACTGAGGCTTTTCTGTTCCTGTTATAGCACCAGGATTGCGTTCCCAGTTGGTTT